GGTGCTACGTGTCAGCAGAACTCCAGAGTATATTGTCTATCGGTGACGTTCTACCATATGTGTCTGCGGTACTGCGTTCTCCGCCAGTTTGGTTATGTTTTGAGACTTGCTTTATTTTGTGCTCTGCTGTCCCAAAATATCTGCATTAAATGGTACCAAAGCTGCCATTCAAATAAATTTCGAGCTGTTCTATCGATGATGCATGCTGCAGCGCGTGTTGCTGTGCTTGAAGAGCCAGGTGAAATGCAACGTCGACTTGATGATGATGATGATGATGGTAGATTTTATAGGCGCAAGGGCAACTTAGGCCAAAGAGCGCCAAACACACGGTTTTTGGTCAATTTGATTATAGAAAGTCTACTCAGGGTCGCAAAAATAAAAGAGAGGAGCATAGGGTTTAAACTTAGGTGTAGTGACTATGTGTGATGGGTTTAAAACGGGCTATGCTTATGGGTTTTACAGAGTCATGCAGTGTCGGCAACAGTCCTTGTCAGGACAAGGAGTGCGTGCTGCCTGACATTTAAGAAAAAATGTCTCAGCGGTTCCCTCAAGATTGAGAGGAGGGTGAGATTAGTGAGAATATGTTATGGAATGTAGGAAGCCTACACTAGCTAAAAACTTTAAGACTTTTGGGGGGAACAAGGGATCGTCTCCAAGGAAAAATTGCGTGTGAGGCCGAATGTGGCATTTGTACAGCTTTGGGAAGTGACACAGTCTTTCTGGTTCGAGGTGCGGACAGATAATTAGAATGTGAACGACAGACAGCACATCACCACATTTTGCACAATGTGGTGCTGGAGAGTTGTTTAAAAGGTGCGAGTGTGTTGCATGTGTATAACCGATCCTGAGTCTGCACAGTGCAACCTTTTGGTGCCTGTTACGTTTTTCAGTCACATATATTCTTATTCTTGGCTTCACTAGGTGCAGTTTGCATTTGCTGCGTTCCATTCTTTTTGCCATTGTCTACGCATTCAGCTTCTGATGAGTGGCCTCAGGTCCTCATTCGGGATGCTGTTTACGTCAACTGATTGGCGGAGTGAAGCTGACTACACAAGTTTGTCCGCTAGCTCATTCCCAGCTATGTTGCAGTGTCCCGGAATCCAGCATAGCGTGATTTTGATCTTGGATTTGCGGGCTGACATGATGCATTTTATAAGTGTATTAGTAACTGGGTTTTTTAGTATCTTAGTGGAGGACAGCGCAGTCACTGCGCTGAGAGAATCTGTGCATATGACTGAGGCTGGTTCTTTCTCCTTTAAAATGTGCTTTACAGCTAAAAGTATGCCATAGCATTCTGCAGTAAATATGCTGGTATGTTCGTTCATTGTTCTACATTCAGAGAAAGCGGGACCATGTGCCGCACATGCGACTGTGGAGGACTTGGAGGCATCAGTATAATACTCAGCACACCTGTATTTGGCCTGCAGGTACCGTATTTACTCGATTTTACCGCGTCCTTGATTGTAACGTGCACCCAATTTCCACGAGGAAAAAAAAAAGTAAGACATCAATTGCAACGCGCACCCATTTTTCTTGCTGGCCCGCACAATCACACCACCCGAAAAAAGGACTCCTTTCGGCAGCGTCTTCCATTTAAATATGAGGTACGGGGGGAAGCTTGTGCCCACATTGACGTGTAACAGAGCATTGCTGTCACTGTAGTTTTACCGTGGACCAATGTCAGCACGCGAACTTGCTTCGCTCCCTTCTTCTCGAAGGTTGTGATGCCAGGTATGTCGAAGTAAACAGGCGTCTAATCAGCATTCCCGATTTGCCCAAGCAGGTAGCCGTTGTTGTGCCGCAAGTTTAGAATGAACCTCTGAAAACTGTGCAGCTTTTCATAGCACTCCTCCGCAAAACTTTTCGCAGATGCCCGTTCACCTTCGGAGGGAAAAGCCTTTCCTCTTCATATATGAAAAGTTAGTTAGCCAGCACCTGCTCGCTTTAAACTGGCTCTGCATTAGCCCTTTTTCCAAGGCTAATTGCATAGCCCGCACTTGGAGCAGTTCTGTCGTCACGGGCCACTGTGCCGCTCGCTGCTCGAGCACATACTCGACGAGCAGCTCTTCAATTTGTGGAAACCGACCCTGCTGTGGTCCACTGAAGCCTTTGCGTGTATCTTTTCTGTCGACGATCTTCTGCTTTTGTTTCCGCCAGTCCCGCACGGACGTTTCGGGAACTCCGAACGACCGCGATGCGGCCCGATTTCCGTCCGTTTCTGCACACGCGATGACTTCTTTTAAAAGCGGCATCGTGGTGCACTCGAATTTTTTGAGTCGGCCCTTCCATGCCGTCAATGCTAATGCACTACAAGATGACGAACTCCTCAGCACACGTACGAAGTGCCGCACATGGGAAACACATAGGCAGAAATGGCCGACGTGCCATGCCGACGCACGTAGGGGGCGGCTATTTTGGAAATGCCGGTGGCAATAGAATGACCGTATTCATTTTTTTTTTTATACTCGATTCTAGCGCGCATGCGATTTATGAACTCGCTTAACCGGGAAAAAGGTGCGTGTTAGATTCGAGTAGTTACGGTAAGTCACAATTGATAGCCTGCATTTCCCACGGCACCACAGTGTCCTTGAGAGAGATTAGTTGAAGATTGGAGACCGGTATGAGCATATTTTCAAAGTGTGAGGCCACTCTGAGAGGATAAGGTGGTGTAGCTGATGGCCGCCTCAAAAACAGGTGGGCGTTTGATGTATCCTGCAATAGCGCACGAGCTGGGTGGTCGACATGGGAAAGCACCCTGGTGGCATACGTGAAAGTTGTGAACTGACGTCGCCGTTCTAGTGACCACCGGTTTGTCTCAACATACAGGCTGGCTGTTAGGCTGGTTCGGAAAGCATCGCTGGCCATCCGAAGCCCAAGGTGGTGCACTGGGTCAAGCATCTTCAGTGCAGACCTTGACGCTGACTCGTAAACCATCGAGCCATAATCGATATGTGATAGCACTACACTGTTGAGAAGGTTCTATAGACAGTCACGGTCTGTGCTCCATGACTGATTCGAGAGAATCTTGAGCAGGTTTAAGGCTTTCAAGCATTTAAGTCGTAGCTGTTTGATATGTGTGACAAAGCTGAGCTTTTCATCAACCACAACACTTAAAAATTTGTGATCTCTTTTAGTAGCTATAGTTTGTCCATTAATTGAGATGTTGGGGGACGGCCTTATGCCACGTAGTTTTGAATAGAGTACGCAAACAGTCTTGTCACAGTTAAACTCAAAACCATTTTTGTCTGCCCAACTTGAGAGCTTATTTACTGCCAACTGAATCAGACCTTCACAGATGGCTAGGTTGCACGATTTGAAGCTGATCTGAATGTCATCCACATATACAGAGTGGGAGATTGTTTAAGTAGGATAGTGCTTACATAGTTCATTTTTATGATGAACAGTGTCCAGCTAAGAACACCGCCCTGGGGGACGCCATTTTCTTGCCTAAACCACTTTGATAAGGCATTACCAACACGAACCACAAATGTACGGTCAGAAAGATAGCTTTCAATAGTATTCAGCATATTTCCTGACACTCCAAAAGATCGCAGTTCATGGAGAATGCCATAATGCCATGTCGTGTCGTAAGCCTTTTCCAAGTCAAAAAATGCAGATAGGCAGTGCTGTTTATGAATGAAGGCATCCCTGACATAGGATTCAAATGCTACCAGTTGGTCAGTTGTCGACCGGCCAGACCTGAATCCAGTTTGATGACGATAAAGGAGGCCATTGTATTCGAGGTAATACATAAGGCGGCGATTCACCATTTTTTCGAACACCTTGCCCAAACAGCTGGTCAGCGCAATAGGCCTGTAACTAGCAGCAAGTGTGGCTTCTTTTCCTTGTTTAAGGATGCATATGATAACTGCCTTTTTCCAGGTCATCGGTAGACGCCCAGAGAACCATATATTGTTGAAAAGAATGAGGATGACGTCAAGAGTTTCTTCGTGTAGGTGTTTCAGCATGCCGTAAGTAATCCTGTCCAAGCCTGCTGCTGAGCAGCCGCACTTTCCCAGTGCTGCCTTTAGTTCACCTATAATAAAGGGGGCATTGTACCCTCCTGTTGATGGTCTTTCATCACGAATAGTTTACATTCTTCGGCAAGTTTGTATCGCCTAAAGGAGTCTGTATAATGTGCTGAGCTGAAAATATACTCAAAGTGTTGGCCTAAGGCATTCGCCTGGTGTTCCAGTGTATCACCAGCAGTACTAACAAGGGGCACCAGATGAGTGCTGTGCCCTTGGAGTGCTCTTACTCTGTTATACACCTTATGTGTGTCAGTGTAAGAGTTCACCAATGAGAGGAAGGATTGTCAGCTCTGTCGTTTAGACTCTTGTCGGACATGCCTACGGTTTGCTTTTGCACGCTTAGAATTTACCGTTTTCGACTGTAGGATACCTGCGGAATTTTTAACATGCTTTGTTTGGTTGTCACGAGCATTTTCGCACTCAGCGTTCCACCAAGGTCGTCTTTTGTTCCGTGTGTTGTTAGATGTATGTGGGATGAATTGCTCTGCGGCCTGTATAATGTGCAGTGTGACTAACGCTTCACATTCATCAATACCTAGGTTTTCGATTGATGATATATGGTGTTTTTGGCGCAAGGGCCATTTGATGGCCAAAGAGCGCCAGCTCATGAGACAGGAATGTGGACAATGATTGTGATTAGCGGCTGTATAAGGGCAATAAAATTCCTCGCAGTAAAGCGGGTAAAAACATACAATTAATAAAATCATGACCATGCCGTGAAAGGTGTGTGTGGTGCGAATAGATGGCAAAAGTTAATGATAATAAAAATGATGGTGGACATGTATCGCATTAGCACAAGTGCCTCATTCGTTCATACCCTTGTGTCCAAGGGCCATGAGGCAAGTGCTTTATTGTGTAGCCACCGCAGCGAAAACCTCTCTGGAGAGGTCGTGCTACGGTATGCCCGGGTATATGACATGAAAGCTATGAATTTCTTTTAAAAACGCTAACAATGATTTGTGACGAAAAAGCGGTTCCCTACCGACGAACGTTGCAGGGTGTAAAGGTGGGCTCAGTGGGCTTGGCAGCACCGTGTTCGGGCGGTTGCTCATGAATTTCTACTTTTTCGTCCAGATCGCCTTGCTGCGGGTGGATTCCGTCGTTGGCCCGGCGGAACTCTTCCCACCACGGGGAAACATCGCCGCGCCTGCGCCGGACAGCCCCGTCCACGAAGAACCATCATGGAAAGCAGCGCCTCAAGTGCCCCTCCCCTACCATGTGGTCAACCGAGTGACGTCAGCGGACACGCTTGAGCTTCAGCATAAAACCCGGAGCCATCTTCAGCAGTCTTTCAGTGGGCTTGGCAGCACCGTGTTCGGGCGGTTGCTCATGAATTTCTACTTTTTCGTCCAGATCGCCTTGCTGCGGGTGGATTCCGTCGTTGGCCCGGCGGAACTCTTCCCACCACGGGGAAACATCGCCGCGCCTGCGCCGGACAGCCCCGTCCACGAAGAACCATCATGGAAAGCAGCGCCTCAAGTGCCCCTCCCCTACCATGTGGTCAACCGAGTGACGTCAGCGGACACGCTTGAGCTTCAGCATAAAACCCGGAGCCATCTTCAGCAGTCTTTCAGTGGGCTTGGCAGCACCGTGTTCGGGCGGTTGCTCATGAATTTCTACTTTTTCGTCCAGGTGGGTGACAAACATTCTGTCTGCTCTATTAGAGACGATTCGCTCACTTTAGTAGTGCTGCCGGGCCCACAGAGTCTGCTTTCTTCATTTTGTGATTGTTTTCTTGTTATTAGGCTACTGCTGTTAACATCAGGTGATGTGGAGTTAAACCCTGGACCCCGCTCAGACTCAGAGTCTGGTTCAGAAGCCACTTTAAATAGCCAGCTCCTCAAGAAAATTCTAAAGGAACAAACAAAGACGAATAAAGTGCTCACTGCTCTTTCTGAAAACTTAAAACACGTAGAAACTACAGTAAGCAACGTACAGGAAAGATTGACCGCCATGGAAAAAGAGTTAGCTCGCCTACAGCAATTTGAGGATAAACTCGCCGAGCATGAGGTGATGACCGTAGAAACAAATAAACTGGTGCGAGAGCTATCAGTTAAGGTAGAAGACTTGGAAAACAGGAGCCGCCGGAATAACATAATAATCTATGGCGTGGAAGAGGGTGATAACGAACAAAATGCAGATTTACAACAGCGTATTGTTAAGGGCATTTTTAAAGACATCCTCAAGGTGAATGTTACATCTGTAGAACGCATGCACCGAATCGGCAGGAAAACACAAAATCGAGAGCGGCCAGTAATTCTTAAGCTGTACAATTTCTCTGAAAAAATGTTAGTCCTTCGTAATTGCAACAAACTGAAGGGAACAGCGATATCGATATCCGAAGACTTTTCCGCACGAGTTCGGGACCTGCGCAAAAAGCTATGGCAATCAGCAAAGAAAGATCGGGACAATGGTGCTAAGGTCACTCTTGTATTCGATAAACTAAAGATAGATGACGACTTGTACGTATGGGATGAAGCAAAAAATGCAAGAGTTTCCCTGAGAAGGGCACGTCACGATGGTCGCGCGAAAAGCAACGCGTGACACCCGCAAGCCGCCACACCGTTTTCATTGGTATGTTTGAATGCCCGTAGCATTGTTAACAAAACTGACAAGCTAGAAGAATTGTTATTTTCGTACACTCCTGATATTGTCGTGATAACTGAAACGTGGCTGCACCCAGACATTCTTGATTTTGAAATTGTTCCTTCTTCATACTGCCTACTTCGGTCAGATCGTGACGGTCGCGGGGGCGGGGTCGCCATTGCAATAAAACGTGGTTTGCAATATCGTAGAGAAAAGGGTATCGCGAATCACGAAAGCGTTTGGTGCACAATATTTGCTCACGATGCTCCAGTACTGATCGGTGGCATCTACAGAAAACCAAATGCGTCTGATGATTACCTTTTACAAATACATGACTATCTGGTTGATAAGGTTACCCCCCGTACCAAATTGATACTTACTGGAGATTTCAATCTCGCTATTGACTGGGAAAACTTAACAAGTACTAGAAATACCGCCAACAGCGAGCTATTATACGATTTAATGTTCAATTTTTCATTGTCCCAGTTGGTCCAGGAACCAACCCGAATTCAAGGAAACACTCGCTCCATACTAGACCTAGCTTTTCTTTCCGATAAGCTATCCGGTAAAGCCACTGTAGAAGATGGAATATCTGACCACAAAATGTTAATCATAACTTTTAACCTTGAATGCTTAAATACCAAACCCGATGGCACAAATTCACGGATAGCCGTGAAAGACTACACTAGAGCTAATGATGTTTGTGTTATTGATTACCTCGACACAGCACTAGAGACTTTTTCTCTAGAGGAATGTGAGGGTGTTAATGGTATGTGGATTCAACTGAAAAAAATAATTACGTACTGTGAACAAAATTTTATCCCAACGAAACTAAAACGCACACAAAGAAAAACACCATGGATCAATCGCCGTATTATTCACCTTAAAAGAAGGGTACAGAGAATGCGTAAGAAAAAGAGGAATCCAATCATCTTAAAGGAACTTGCATCTCAGCTTAAGGCGGAAATTAGAAATGCAAGACAAACTTTTTTTTCACATACGTTATCTCGCTTCATGACGGATCAGCCGCAAAAATTTTGGCGTTTCTTGGCACGGCCTGAAAACCCAACAACTGAAGTAGAAATTGAGGGTACTATCGTAAAGGACGCGCAGACCGTTTCCAATGCTTTCAATAGGTATTTTCAGTCGGTATTTACACGAGCATGCGCACCAAGCAGCCCTGTTGCTCCGGTGCATCCTTTTTTAATGCCCGATGTCGTTGTCACTACGGAAGGTATTCTGAACCTGCTGTTGCAGATCGATGTTAAGAAATCAGTGGGTCCTGACAATATTTCAAATGTATTCCTTCGACGCTACGCAGAGCAACTATGTCCCTTCCTTGAAGCAATTTTTAAAGCATCCCTGCTAACAGCTTCTTTACCTGCCGACTGGTTGTGTGCAAAGGTTATTCCAATTCATAAAGGCGGGAGCAAGCTGTCCATAGAAACATTCAGGCCTATCTCGCTAACTAGCTGCTGCTGTAAATTATTGGAACATGTAATCAACAAGGCAATAATTACTTATTTAGAAGACAACAACTTATTGCACCCAAACCAACACGGATTCCGTAAAAACCTGTCTACCGTTACTCAACTCTTGGAAATAACGCATGACTTCGTAACTACTATTAACTCACAATTGCAAACCGACTCCATATTTATAGACTTCGCCAAAGCTTTTGATAAGGTGCCTCACAGTAAATTGATTGACAAACTTGTGTCTATTGGTATTAACAGTAACATAATAGCATGGATAAAAATGTATCTATCAAATCGAAGCCAGTATGTAACCGTAAACAACACAGCCTCTGATTCATTGGAAGTTTTTTCCGGAGTACCACAAGGTTCTGTTTTAGGACCCACCTTGTTCCTAATATATGTTAATGATATCTATATGTGCCTTGAGCCTAACGTTAAAATGAGATTATTCGCTGACGACTGCGTGATCTACACCACTATCCGCACAACTGATGACCAGCTTAGACTTAATACCACACTAGCTAATATTGCATGTTGGTGTCTTGAGTGGGGAATGGAAATTAACGTGTCAAAAACAGCTTGCCTTAGCATAACTCGCAGAAAAACAATCCAGCATTTTAGTTACAATTTGGTCGGCACAAACATTGCAAGAAACGACGCTGTTAAATACTTGGGCGTTACCTTTACAAGTAAACTGAAGTGGGATGCACATATAAGCAGCACATACACAAAAGCCTATCGCCAGCTGGGGTTCCTGCGTCGAAAACTTGCATTGGCGCCTCCTAATGTAAAGATGATAGCATATAAATCTCTCATAAGGCCGATCCTCGAGTACGCCAGCATTGTTTGGAACCCCCACCAAAAATATCTTTCCGACAAATTAGAAATGGTCCAACGCAAGGCCCTTCGCTTTATCTATTCTAAGTATTCGAGGCATGACAGTGTCACTGAGCTGCGCAGGCGGGCATGCTTGCCGACCCTTGCAGCCCGTCGCCGTGTCTCTTCCTTAAAGTTTATTTTTCTTTTGTATCACAACGGTTTAAACATAGATAAAGACAACTATATAAAGCCGCCTAACCATCACTCCCGTCGTACCAACCACAATAAGTGCATTAGACCATTTATGTCACGCTGTGACACTTTTAAATATTCATTCTTCCCGTCAGCAGTGGAAGAGTGGAACAAATTGCCACGTGAATGCGTTAATCATTCCTCTGTAGATTCATTTGTTCGGAATGTAGAAAGCCTGTTTTATGAAGACTAAAAGCAACTTTTGTTTTTTTTTTATGTTTGTGAGCGCTTCCTCTGCAGATTCATTTGTTCGGAATGTAGAAAGCCTGCTTTATGAAGACTAAAAGCAACTTTGTTTTTTTTTTTTTATGTTTGTGAGCGCTTCCGAACACACTGATCACAGTACCCCCTGCTGATACCTTGATGTTTTGTGACCTGTCCATGATTTTGTACAATTGCTTTCATCGTACAAGTTTTATTTTCACCATCATCTTGTGATTCTGTTTCTTCCGCTATGTGCGATATTGTCTGGTTTGTACGCGACTGTGTATATTTGCTCGCCCACCCTGTATGAGCCTGAGAAAGGCTTACAGTATTAAATAAATAAATAAAATAAAATATGTTGTCGGTAGGGTGAAGGAAAGTGTTGTTTTCTTAGAGTGTCCAATTGTTTGCACTGAATTAAAATGTGAAGAACTGTTAGTGCTTCACCACATCTGTCACACAATGGTGGATCGCCACCGGAGAAAAGATATGAGTGTGTCGTGTATGTGTGTCCTATCCTGAGCCTCGTTAATGTTACCTCTGTGTGACGTGATTTTGATACTGGTGGCCAATGGCCAAGGTGTGGCTTGATAACGTGTAGTTTGTTTTGTGTGTGTGTATCCCACTTGCTCTGCCAGTAGTCCCTGAGTTTTCGTTTGAGAGACGGCTTAAGATCAAGGGCCGGGATTGATAAAGGTATAATGGCGGTGCTTTCGTGGGCGGATGCAGCAAGCTGATCCGCCATCATGTTGCCTTGAATCTCACGGTGCCCTGGCACCTAGCACACAACAACATGTCGGTTGAGTGTGTAGAGTGTGCATAAAATGGAGTAAAGTGAAACGAGGACAGGGTTTTTTTGTTTTTTAAGACTGTGCAGAGCCGTTACCACACTGAGGGAGTCTGTATAAATTACTGCTTTTTGTATTTGTGATTGTTTGATGTGTTTAGCTGCCACAAGTATCGCGTAAGCTTCCGCTGTGAAGATACTTGTGCCTGGATGTAGAGGGCCAGCATCCGAAAAGGATGGGCCGACAGCAGCGTAGGACACAGAGGAGTTAGACTTGGAGGCATCTGTAATGAACTCAGGACGTGTGTATTTGTGTTGAAGTTCCAGGAAGTGTGTTCGGATATGGGCAATAGGTGCATGTTTTGTTACTTCTAGGAAAGACACATCGCAATCTATAGTCTGCCACTGCCACGGTGGCGGGTATGCTACAGGAGCCATTAAACTGTGTTCGAGTGACACTCCTGTGTCCTCAGCTAGACCCTTCGGGCGAACTGAGAAGGGCTGCCTCATTGAAAGCCTGTTTTGAAAAAGAATGGAGCTCGACAGATCAATAATAGTAGAGTATGAGGGGTACTTCTTGTCTGCTTTCACCTTAAAAAATATACAAAGGACATGTAAGTTCTCTGCAGATGAAGCGACCCTTCATTTGACTCAACGTAAAGGCTTTCTACAGGGCTGGTGCGAAAAGCACCCGCATAAAGGCCGATGCCCGAATGGTGCACGGGATCCAGCATCTTCAAAGCACTTTGAGTCACAGACTGATAAACAATGGCCCCATAATCTAAGCGGGTGCGAATTAGGCTTCTATACAGGTTCATGAGGCATTTCCTGTCACTACCCCACGTAGTATGTGACAACACTTTTATAACATTCATGGCTTTTAAACATTTTGTTTTTAAATACTTTATGTGGGGTACGAAGGTCAACTTGTTGTCCAAGATTAAGTTTAAGAATTTATGCTCGGCTTTGATGGACAGACGTTGCCCGTTCAGTCGAATGTCAGGTTCCGAGTGCATGCCTCTCTTTCGAGAGAACAAGACACACGTGCTTTTTTGTGGGTTAAGTCGAAATCCGTTTTCATCTGCCCATTTGGAGACCTTATTTAAACCCAGCTGAACCTGCCGCTCACACATGGCCAAGTTGCATGACTTGAAGCCAAGCTGAACGTCGTCGACATATGTACAATAAAACATATTCCGAGGGATTGACAAGCGCAAGGAATTCATTTTGATGAGAAAAAGTGTGCAACTAAGCACACCTCCTTGTGGCACGCCTGTTTCCTGGACAAATGTTTGAGAGAGCACACAGCCCAGACGGACACGGAATGTCCGGTTTGACAGGTAACTTTCGATTACATGAAACATTCTTCCGCGCACACCAAGGTGGGACAGGTCTCTTAGAATTCCGAAACGCCATGTTGTATCATAAGCCTTTTCGATATCGAGGAACACAGAGAGAAAATATTGTTTATGGACGAAAGCGTCTCTGATCTGTGCTTCGATACGAACAAGGTGGTCTGTGGTGGATCTACTTTCTCGAAACCCGTACTGAAATGGGTCGAGCAAATTATTTGTTTCAAGAAAATGTACAAGTCGGCAGTTTATCATTTTTTCGAAGACTTTGCAGAAGCAGCTTGTAAGTGCAATAGGCCTATAACTCGAGGGTAAAGAAGGGTCCTTGCCCTCTTCCAAAATGGGAATAACAATAGCCTCTTTCCAGGAGGTAGGAATAGTGCCAGAAGACCAAATAGCATTGTACAAACAAAGTAAGGTTTTTCGGGTTTCGTTTGGTAGGTTTTTTAACATTTCATACATCACACGGTCAGAACCTGGGGCAGAAGTACTGCAGGAGTTTAGAGATGTTCGGAGCTCAGCTAGACTGAAAGCTTGGTTATATGCCTCGTATCTAGTGGATTTGTGTTCGAGTTTCTGCTTTTCTATTCTTGTTCTGTATTTTTGGAAAGTGTCAGTATAGTGGGACGAGCTGGATACCTGTTCGAAGTGTGCACCGAGGAAGGTTACCTGATCTTCCAAGGTATCACCCTGAGTGTTTACGAGTGGAAGTGTGTGTACTTGTTTTCCTGCTATCCTACCGACCATGTTCCAGACTTTGGCCTCTTGTGTGTATGAATTGATCCCTGACAAAAACTTCTGCGAGCTTTCTCTTCTGGCCTGCTGACGCGTTCTCCTAGCTTGAGACTTTATTTTCTTGAAGGTGTCAAGATTTTCGGCTGTCGGTGAGTTCCGAAGCAGCCTCCAAGCTCTGTTTTGCTGTTTGCGCGCGTTTCGGCATTCAGA